CCCCAGGCTGTGGACGTGTGCAAACCTCAGGCTCGGATCGCTCCCCTCCCATGGCTTTGTGGCCGCCCCCTGCAGCTGGCTCCTCCAGCAGCAGCGCGGCTGCCAAAAGCAGCGCAGCCGCGCCCCGCCCGGCTGCAGCGGCGCGCCGGTGCGGTGGGGTTGGCCACCGCATGGGTGGGCAGGCGGGTGGGGGCGTTGGGGGGGGAAGAGCAGGAAACGCCTGCTGTGCCAACGCAACCTCCTCCAGCGCGGCCAGGCAAACTCCCAAGTTCCTGGATATCACACTGGCAAATATACAGAAAATCAATCAAGGCGAGAGCAATCGACACAACCGCGTGGAAGGAAACCCATGCGAGCGAGAGCGAAACGCAAAGCGACCCACCCCAAAGAAACAATCATCATTCTTTCAAGCCGATCAATGAAAAATAGAGGCTGGAAAGGACGGGTCTGGTAAAATGATTGGGGGCTCCACGTGCTCAGGAGAAAATTCCTGGCTCAACGGCCTGTCTTCCCCTGGGGGCGGTGCTGTCGGCTCTGTGTGCTGGCATCTGCGCAACACGCGAGAAATCGAACCAAACCCGAAACGGGGTCAGCACGCGAAGCAACACCTCGAGCAACAACGCGCAGGGGAGCCGTGGTCGGAGGAGGAAGGCCTGGAAGATGGAATGTGGTACTTCGCAACATGCAGAGATGAGGTGTCAAACGGTACAACGAGTATAGCACAGGCACGGCCGGTAGTTACCTAGAGTGGAAGAGGCGGCGGACAAAAGGCAGAGGGAACACAAGCAGAGAGGGTGCAGAGATACCGTTCGAGTCTGGTGCTCAAGCGAGTCTGTTGTGCTTCGTCGGTCCATGCACGCTGGTCGCGCACGGACCAAGGAAACAACAACCAATGATTTACGAGAGGACGTTCAACAACGACAGACAATTCATGGAGCACTGCCCAAGTCACTTGCGTGCTTTATTTTCAACCACCTGCTGCTCCAATAATATAGCTACTGGAAACAACCTTCTTACATGCATGCTTCACAGCGTCGCATTCGCAAACATAGTTCGCGAGATGCGGGCGTCTGCCTTGTCCTTCGCCGTCGGGTCGTCGTTGCCCGTGGTACTTGGCGAACCGATGACTTAGTCATTCTGGTCGCCTCTGGCCTTGTGGGTGAGGCTGCTGCGACGGAAGCTCAGCACTGTCTTCTTGTACCGGTCCCCACTTAGCCTGATGGTGATGTGATCGTAGCTGAAGTTCCTGTCCACGATGTCGAGAATGAGCTCCAAGCCGATGCTCCCCTTCGTCATTGGGGTCGGCCCTCATGTCTCGAGTATCGCACCAAAACGTGTAATTGATCTGCTTGGTGCGTAGCAGGTCTGATGATCACCGCAGGTGGCCGGCCATGCCGTCTCCGAGAGCGGTCGGACAAGCTCGTTGACTAGGGCCGAGAAGACGGAAATCCCGTCTGCGACCAGCTCGGCGGGTACGGTCTAACTTTCTGTCTCCGTCAGCGCCCTGATCTCCTCGGCTGAGGCAGGTCCGCGCGCCATCTCGTGGAGCGTCAAGAAGTGCGCCTGCAGGCCGTCGGCTGCCCCGCATGCTGCCAGCATCTCTGGGCCGAGTGAAAATCGGCAGACCAACTTGTGCGATCGGCTCGCAGCGCCGAGCAGGTTGCATACCTGTTTGCCTGCGGTGCGGCACTTGTCCAGACGCATGTATACGGCTCCTCTCAAACTGTAACCTGTCTACTCCGCCCTCTTGAACGACCCGTCGCTGTGTGCGCGCAGTCGTCCGGCGCACTCCATGGCTGGGGGGTGATGCGCGCCCTGATCTTCTGTGTGGCCAGAATGATGGAATCGAGCTGCGTCGCGTGAGGGATGAGCAGCTTGTTCTAGGCTCCCTGTAGAACGACGATGTGCACTGCGACATGGTGCTGCGTGGGCAGAGCGCATGCTGCTGCTTCGAGGAGGGAGACGCATAGGTCTGGGAGGTGACCTCCGACCAGCTCGTGTGCCTTCGCCTTGACCAGGTTGACGTGCCTGATGGGGATCAGGGCGTCGATGTGCTCGTCCTGGTCATACGTCACTGTGCCATCGTCACTGCGCTGCTGGTGGACTCCGAAGTTGACGACGTCGTCGTAGTTCCTCTTTATCGTGCTGGAGGCGCTCTCGATGTGGCCGATCAGCTGGCCGACATGCTCCCTGCGTCCAGCGATCTTCATGTCACCAACGTGCTTGGCAATCATGGGCACTACCTCTGAGCCACCGGCGCCATAGGCACCGGGCGTCTCGTGCTTGGCCTCTAGCTCTGGGTCCCACCTCGTCGGCTTGGTGTTGCACTCTGGTGAACGCGTGACCTGGGCGAACTTAAGGAGAATGCTCTGGGCGCATCCTTGCAGCCCGTGCCCAGCTTGATGCAGTGCAGGCGTTCGTCCGCTCGTCGACGGACTCGTGGCCTGGCACTGCCTGAGGATAGCTGCACTTCAGGGCGGCGCGGTGAAGCTCGCCTCGCGGGGGGTGCTTCGCCCTGCTCTTGCATCTCGGCGTAGGTCATGCCCTGCAGGAACGTCTTCTCGACGCCCACAGCGACGTGCGCCTGGTCTGGGCGACGCGCCGCCTCTTGGGGCAATATGAACTGTGACGCCCGCTCCGCTGTCACAGCGAACGTCTCGAGGGCTCCGGCGTCCATGTCGCGGGGGCCTCTCGGCGCCGTGCACCGCCGGGTGTTTCTGGCGGCCTTGCCGTCCGATCCTTTCCGGTATTTCCAACTCAAAACGCATCTGAAGTACACGACGTTCCGGGCGCCTTTGAGCGGCCGCCTCTCGAAATAATTGTACTTGACCCACATGGTGTGCTCCTCGAGGATGGCGGCAACGACTTCCTTAACCTCGACACTTCTTCTTTGGTAAGGAGGTCGGCGTCGCGCTTGATGACCGCAGTCTTGGCGGCGGCATATACTTTGACCGCGGCTGTCTTGGAGTCGCCACCGATGGCCTTCCATGCGGAATGGAGTCCCCTCCCTGTATCAAGGAGGTGCTGGAGTCCTGGAACTCACCAGAGGCGCTGTTCGGACAGAAAGCCTCGAAGCCGCCGCGGGTATCTGTCCCGAATATGCTCTCCCTCGTCAGCGTACTGGGCGTTTTCTTCTGTCGTGTAGTTGTGGTGCGATCGGCGCTCGTAGCATCCCACAAGACAGTGATGGGAATGCTCGTCGTGCGTCACGTTGTCTCTGTGCTGAACACCGCCAACTGTGCCATTGCCAGGAGGAGTCTGCATCGGGATCCAGATCTGCCAGGCAGCAGGGAGTGCGTGGGAAATGTGGAAGGGCATGATCCAGGGGATCGAAGACGGATGCTTCTAAAGTTGTTTCGCGGTCCCCTGGGGTGCTGACAACATAGTTGCTGGACGCGCCATTATCTTCTCGTTCTTTCTTGCCTGCGTCCCACCCGGCTCTGGCAACGCAGTCACCGTGAGCTCATTGCGATTCGCCCGCGCCGTGAATGTGAACGTCGTATCAAACAGATGTATGACACCCTCGGCTACACCCACTGGCGGATGCAGTGGAGGCGTCGTGTACGTTGCCTCTTTCTCTCACAGCTTCTGCAACAGAGTCGCAAGAAACCCGGGGACCTTCGCCAACACCGACAACGTGAACGTTGGGTCAAACAGCTGTCTGACGTCGGAAGCTACACTCACAGGTGATTGCACTGAGGGCGTCGGGTCCACGAACTGCTCAAACATGTTCTGCGCAACCCCAGGAAACTAAGCCGCTGTTCTCGACATGTTCCGTGCACGCCTCCCCCGTAGTCACTTTTGGCGGCTGGGCGGGGTCCGCCCTGACGGTTCCCAGAGAGCCGCCGCCTGCCGCGATGGACGGGTGGAAAAGCACGAACACGATGAACAGTTGATCACGGCGAGCACGGGGTTCTTGAAATCGATGTCCTTGTAATGGTTGTTTAACACGATGGAGTGTGGGTGCCGTTGCCTTCGAAGCAGGGCTGCGAGATAATGCCATGCAGGCCATGGGGGGAGTGCGGAAGGGAACCAGAGCTCCGCTACCAACTGGAAGGGAACTATCAGGATGGAATGTGGTACTTTTCGTTAAGCAGACATGCAGTGTCAAACGGTGAAACGCGTATAACACGGGCGCGGTCGGTAACTAGTTAGAGTAGAAGCAGTGGCAGGAAAAGACACCAGGGAAACATGCAGAGACGGTGCAGAGATACCGTTCAAGTATGTCGAAGATGGAGGGAGCAGGAAAACGAAGAGAGTGATCGCTCACAAGGAAGACATGCGCGCTTGCGCGCGCGCCCATGCGGGCGCAAACGAGCGCCGTTGGGTGTCTGCCATTTGCCGCCGGCAGCCTGTGAATGAGGAGGCGGGAATGAGGATGGGGAGGAGAGAGCGGGAGCCTGGGCGGGAGACTTCTGAACCCGACGGGCGCAGCGGGCCATCATACCCGTCCTCGCGCCCCAGACCACGCAGCTGACTCGCTGACGTGATAGTGAAAACGAAAGAGGGACAGCATCATGTGTGCCACACCCTGTCCACTAGTTTGCCTGCGTCTGCTACGCATAACCCTTCACAGGGGGTGCTCTCCCGGCGCGCAGAGACTCTCGCGCGCGTAGACGCGTGAACATGGCTCCCAAACTTCACTGTGCTGTAGCTTTGGTAAGACCAACGCTCGCCAGCGTGGGCCCCACATTGAGGGCGCACTCTCGATGTTAACTTTGCGTGGTGCAATCTCTTTGTGCGGCGCAGCGTGCTATAAGATATGCCCGTCCTGTTGCCCTCCCTCGCGCCGGGAAGGACAAACCTGTGATGATCTGGGGCATGATGCTGCTGTCGATGACGGTGAAAGTGGTGTTGATCACAATGCAAGTGATGATGGTCAAATGGGAGAAGAGAAACAAACACATAATGTTGACGAGAATGAGAGAGCAATAGGATGGGAGAGGGGCCTTACGTTTATCCGCTCCATGTCCATTCCTTTCACAGAGGGCGAGAGAGATGGGGAGGAGGAGGAGGAGGAGGAGGCGCAGGAACAGTATGGGTAGAGACCGACCTGATGGTCATCCACCCAATCCACTTTCTTTCGCCGACGGCGCTAGATGTCCTCCTCGCTCGCGAGCTGCGCGGCCGACGACGCCCGCTGAGCATCATGCATCGGCCATGTGCACCTTCTTCTCCAGCCACTCTGCGAAAGCCTCGGCCGCGCAGTGCGCGGCGGAGGAGGAGGGGGAAGCGCTCGAGGGCGTCCAAGGTCTGCAAATCATGGCCCGAGGCATGTGAGTGGACACTGGGGGGGACCAGGGGAGGCGCCACTAAATTCGGGGAGATATCATGGCCCCGGCCATGTCATCCACCTCTCCCCGATGTCCCCCCCCCTCTTGGTTCGACCCCGAGGGGGAGAGGCCCGGACATCTGGGCGTCGCCAAACCTGCACGACGGGCCGTCGTTTGGGGGAGGCACTCCGGGCCCGAAGGCCCACGCGGATCGACGCAGACCGGAAGCCCAGCGCAATGGTGCGGCCAGAAACTCTGGCATATATTTTCACGACGTCGTGACGTGTTCATGGCGCCGCATGTCTGGGCGGGCGGGGCGGGTGGAAAGAAGGGGGCAAGCGAAGTGCGCTCGCGCCACATCTGACATCCTACCTCTCCCGCGCATTCCTTCCATTGCGATGTATCCTTGAATATCCGCAGATTCGGGTATCGTAAAATACTTGCGCCGGTCCTCAACTGGCGCTTGCATTATTCGACCAATCGTTTGCTGTACTATCGGCAGTATGGGGCTTGTGTACACTGGAGAGGGCGAGGGCGGAAGAGGAGGATGAGAAGGCGGAGCAGCAGCAGCAGCAGCAGCAGCAGCAGCAGCAGCAGCAGCAGCAGGGAGAGGAGGAGAAGGGAAAGGAGGAGGAGGACTGTCTTTCTCGTTTCCCAACTGCAAGCATGATGAAAAAGCTTGGCAGCTAGATGCGAGACAGATCAAACGATACATCTTACAGGAGGCGGAACAAGACCTGCAAAGGTCAAAATGACCACTCCTGGCGGTTGGCTTAGCCATCCGCCGCATGTGCGTGGCAGTACTCGGGAGCACTGCCAGGGAGGCCAGACACCCCTCACAGCCTTCGCTTGCTCGCGGAACTCAAGTCCGCGAGGTGTGCCGATCAGGATGCACCCAATGACAGCCTTCCCAATAGGAGTCCTGACCGCACCCCCCGATGCGGCGAGGACTATAAAGTCAGGGCACTAGGCCGTCGACAGATACTGTCAGCATCAAGATACCCTTGGCCGCCACGCGGAGGCCTGCAATCCGACTTTTCGGCCAGGATCTTACAGGAGGCGGAGAAAAGGAGGAGGAGGAGGAGGAAGAGGCAGACCAGCAGGAGCACGAGGCGGCACACACGGGGAAGGAACCGATACCAGAAATCGGCCCGCACTGGGGCGAGGGCACCATGCTCAACGACGGGAGCAATCTACCTATGTATCCTGGAATGTGGTCAACGCTGCATCGGGACCACCATTTCTGAAATATCGAATCTGTTCCGACTGGACAAACTCGCATGAAAACAAAAAGCACAGCGCAAGCTGAAACCCGGTGTGAATCAAAGATGCGTGGGAGGGGAGAAGCATAATGCTGTCACGGGGGAGATGAGACAATATGGGGTAGTTGTGCATGTGGGCGACAAGGGGCAGGCCAAGCAGGCTGCCACCACAGACCAAGAAACCTCCAAGACAGCCAGATAGGTCCCAAGCGGCCTCAATGGCACATGAAAGGCCTCCAGAGGTGCCAGAAGAGGGCCCCAGCAGAGGCCCCAGACGGCAGAAATAGCAGAACAAGTCGATGTGTGCCGTCGTGTGGACCAAGAACAGTTGGTGATGATGACGACATCGAGTGCGTTGAACATTCCAAACAACTGCGCTGCAATGCTCATTCCGTGTTCATGTTTGCTGCTTGGAACTTCCGTATTACCTTCCTATCGTGGATTGCCCTGGACGTATTGCCTTCGCATTGCTACCAAAAGCATCATCCCCCCAATCGCGTTGCTACCCTCAAGCGGGCCTCTGAACATAAAGTCTCTGCAAGCACAGCTCGCCGCGGACCGCATGCTTTGTAAGAGAGGCTGGCCACTGCTTGAATGGTCATGCTTCCGATTGCGTCATGCTATAGGGCAAGGATCCCCTCTGAACTGCTCGAGGCACGCGGGGTCTGAGGCATAATGCGCGGTGTCTCTGGCGCACAAGGCGAATGTGCAACAGTGTGTGCCGTCTTACGCGGAGGGGAAGGGTGCGAGGCCATGTTTGGATACAACGTTCGTGGCTTCGTGTGAACGGTGCGGTACGCTACTACTTCTCGCACGTCTCGCGCTTTAGCGGCATACATTGCTCACCTAAGATCGCGCTCGTTCTGTAATGCGCTCCTTCCCAAAGGCTTTTGCCCCAAGGCTTGCGACAAGAGGCCTACAGCAGAACGCTAGGACATCACAGAGACCTGTATCCGAAGAGGATGAGGGAGGAGGAGAAGGAGGAGGAGGAGGAGGAGGAGGAACGATGAGGAGAAGGAGGAGGAGGTGGTGGAGGAGGAGGAGGAGGGATAGGAGGAACGAGGAGGAGAAGGAGGACGAGGAGGAGGACAAGCTAGGTGCGCTCGCGTCATATCTGACATCCAGCCCCTCCCACTCACCCGTCCCTTCCCGTTGCGTTGATTTCCTCTCTACCCGCCGATGCGTAGCATGAGCTGGATTCGAAGGAGCGGGAGGAGCAGGAGGACCAGGAGAAGGCGGAGGAGGGGAAAGGAGGGTGGCGACAACGATGAGGAAGTACTCGGATCTAGTGAATCGTGGCCCGCTCCGAAGAAAGAGAGAAAGAGAGAGAGAGAGAACGAGAGAGCGCCATCCTGAACGACGGGAGCAACGCGCCGGCCCTAACTTGAGGCCAACGCTGCAGCGGCGGTACCGTTCTGAGACACCGGAGACGTTCTGACGGAAACGAACCATAGGAAAGACCGCCACCTGGCTTCCTGCGCAAAAGCACAGCGCGTGCGCGGAGGGGGCGGGCCACTCCCCGGCCATCTTCGGGGAGAGACAGCCAGATTGAGTACTTGTTGCGTGAGTGCAGAGGACGGACATGCCGAGGAGGAGGAGGAGGAGGAGGAGGAGGAGGTGGAGGAGGAGGAGGAGAAGGAGGAGGAGGTGGTGGAGGAGGAGGAGGAGGAGGAGGCGGACGAGGAACGAGGAAAGGGAAGGACCAGGAGCAGGAGTGGGAATGAGCGGCCGCCAGAGCCGGTGCGACACGGGCTTCCGAGGGAGGAGCCGCCTCCCGCCTCCGCCTCTTCACTTCCCGCTCCCTCGCCTCCTCTGCCCTGCCCCCGCTCCTCGGCCCTCAGCTTCCTCTTGCGAGGTGGGCCTCCGGGGGGGGCAACCGCCTCGCGTCTCCGTCTCTCTCCGCTTCCCGCTCCCCCGCCGCCTCTGCCCTGCCCTTTCCCCTCTGCCCGCGGGTCCGCCCTGGAGGGCTGGAGAGGCGAGACAACGAGAGGGCTAAGCCCATTCAAACTGCGCTTGGCCCCCTGGGGGCCCTCCTGGGTGTCATGCCGGAGCCTTTCTCGGGGCGTCTTGGGGGCCCCCCTGCGCTGCCCATTGGCACCTCCCGCTCCCCTCCTCTGCCCTCCCGTGCCCGTGCCCTCTCCGCACCTCTCGCTTCCCCCCAGTGCCCCCCCCCCGTTCCCTCGTCAGACGTTCTCCTCCATCCTCCTCCTCCTCCTCCTCCTCCTCCTCCTCCTCCTCCTCCTCCTCCTCCTTCTCCTCCTCCTCCTCCTCCCTCCTCCCTCCTCCAATGAATGCCGCTGGGAGCTCTCTTGTGCAGGCCGACCTTCACAGATGGTTCACGGCAGCCGTCAGCAAGCATTTCGTGACAAGTTCAGCTTGTCGACTTGCATTCCCTGATGCTGGTGTGGGGGAGGTGTTTATGTATGTTTAGCTGTTGGTCTTATTTGCTTGGGAATTCAGCACGCTCGGTCTTTCAGGCCATGGCGGTCTAAGGAGTGATATCCATATAACGTGTGGTCACCTCTGTAGCCGCCTCTTCACCTTTTTTCTCCTCTTGCCTGCTCCCCGCGCCCGCCGTAAACGCCTTTGTCAAGTTCGGCAAGGCCAGCGGCTTCAAGGAGGCGTGGGGTTGGGCTGGGTGGGAGGTCGTTTCGTTCGCTCTAGAGAGCTCTCGGCTCTCCCTAATTTTTTTGGTTTCTTTCTCTCTGGGTGCAGGTCCCGGAGATGAAATGAGCCATATGCGGGCGTTCTGGGCTGTAGTGCTAATTTGTGCTGCACCCCCCCAAACTGATGGCCCCGTGACGGGCCTTCCCGCGGACAGCCGATCCGATCCGATCCAATCCGATCCGATCCTCCTCCTCCTCCTCCTCCTCTTCCTCCTCCTCCTCCTCCTCCTCCTCCCCCTCCTCCTCCTCCTCCTCCTCCTCCTCCTTCTCCTCCTCCCCCTCCTGATTCGGCATGACACGGCTCGACGCCTTGGTGCCCAGAATGTCGTTGTGGCCCGCCTTGACGCTCCTGGCCAACAGCTTAGTTCGGAGGCCAGTGGGGAGAGCCCTGCTGCGGAGCCTCGGAGGAAAGAGGAAGAAGAACAGAGGGATATCTATACATACATATATATCTCTCTATATAATATATATATATATATATATAATATATGAGAAAGAATGCGTTTCACGGGCGCTTGCCTTGGGAACATTCGGCGGCGCGTTTCAAACCGGGGGGGTGGGCCCCCCCCCCTGGCGCAGGGGGGAGGGGGGAAGGGTTACAACCCCCCCCCCCTTGCGCCGGCGCCGGCACTGGCGGCGGCCAGCAGCGCCGGCGCTGGCGCCGGCGACGGCGGGGACGCAGCGACGATTACCACCACTACCACCACCACCACCACTACCACCACCACCATCGCCTCAACCCACCACCACCACCACCAACAGCACCACACAACCACCACCACCACCAGCCACCACCACCACCACAACCACCATCACAACTCACCATCACCACCACCAAAAAAACCCACCACCACTACCACCACCACCACCACAATCTACCACACCACCACCACCACCGCCACAACCACTACCACTACCAGCAGCACAACCCACCGCCACCACCACAAACCACCACACCACCACCACCACCGCCACCACCACCACAACACCAACCCACAAACCACCACCACACCATCACCGAACCATCACACCACCACCACCACCAGCACAACCACACCCACCACCCACCGCCCACCCACCACCCACCACCACCACCACACCACCCACCACCCACCACCCACCACCCACACCCACCACCCACCACCACCACCACCACCACCACCACCAACCACCACACCACCACCACCACCACCACCCCACCACCACCACCACCAACCACCACCCACCACCACCACCGCCACCACCACCACCACCCCACCACCCACCGTCGTCCTCGTCGACGCTCCCCGCCACCGCCGCCGACGCAAGCGGCGGCCCGAGGAGAGGGGAAGCAAGGAGGGGGGGGGGGTTCACCCCCCCCCCCCCACTCCGTCACGGGAGGGTGTGTGTGTGGGGGGGTCCGGTTCCAACCCCCCCTCCCCCTCCAAGCGACCACAGAACGCGCTCTTGCATACACATATATATTTATATATATATATATATATAGAGAGAGAGAGAGAGAGAGAGAGAGAGAGAGAGAGAGGAGAGAGAGAAAGAGAGAGAGAGAGAGAGAGTGAGAGAGAGAGAGAGAGAGAGAGAGTGAGGCGGAGGAGACGGGATCGGGCATGGTTCAGATTCAGAAGCCTGTGGAGACCAGGTCGGGCTCTGGTACTGTGGGAATGGAGGCGGGGCGCTGAGCTTGTCGTCCCTCCGCATCCCACCAGGGGTCTCGAGCTCGTCGCCCCTCGGGGTCCCTGGGCCAGTCGAGGGCAAACGAGAGGGGGGTCACGCCAACACCAACATGTCCACTTACAAAATGACACAATGACGCGATTCCTTGGACGCCGTGAGGCCGCGTTGAGGAAGGCCGCGTTCATGAAGGCCCACTGGCCACCAATCTCAAATCAAGCACTGAAAGTGTGGAGTGGCTTGACAGTAGCCAGCCGAGCGACGGTTGAGACCAATCCCGAGGAAGACGACAAGAGCCCAAATACCAGTGCTTACATAACCCATAGGCGTAGCTTCGGGCAACATCAGCGCACCTGACAGAAAGGGAGCGGCAAAACGCGATGGCAGCCCATTGGGAAAGCGCCCAGAAAGAGGCAGAGCCAATGCCCAACGTAGGTTGCCTCAGGATCTTCTAGATCCGGGAGGCCAAGTGGCTTCCAGAGCGCCCGCTTGGAAGAGACTTGCGGCAAGTTCCTGCCATTGTGACGTGAACTCTGGTTTCTGGCACCGCGTAGTTCGTTCAAAAAGTACCGGTCTTCGCTGCCCTCAAAGGCTGTCGGCCCTGCCCCCTGGCACGACTTCAAACGCAAGCTCCAGTACAACCGCCAACTGCCCAGCACAGCTACCAGCGCAACCCCAAACAGAACCACCACGACCCCGAATATGGGTCCCAACACAAATACCAGTGCGACCACCGGCACAAGCCTCAACGCCACCTCTAGCACAAGCCCAAGCGCGACCGTCAACCTAATTGACCCCCAACACAACCGTCAACACAACTCTCAGAACAACCCCCACCACAATCACAAGCGCAGCCACCGGCACAACCCTCAGCACGACCTCCAGCACAACTCACAGTACAACCCCCAACACAATCTCCAGCACATCACCCAACACAACCCCCTTCACAGGCCTAAGCACAACCACCAAGTATAACCCCCAGCACACGCCCCATAACAACCTCCAGCACAGCCCCAGCACAAGGACCTGCACAATCGCCAGCCCAACTCCCAGCCTAATCACCAGCTCAACCATCAGCGCGACAGCTGCACAACCATGAACACAATCTCCAAGGTCATCACTAGCACAGCCATCATCCCAACCACCAACATTACCACCAGCACAACCAACAACACCAACGCATCAACAGTGCAATCACCAGACCGCGAAGAGTGGACATGCCTAGCAACACCAAAATTTGTCAAGTCGCTATCTCCGCTCAAGGCGCTTGGCGACTCAGCTTGAAACAGGAAATTGTTCAAGCTTGGACATTTACTTCGCTTCTGAGGGGTAGGGGGAGAGGGGAGGGGATGGGAGGTGACTGGGAGACATGGAGAAAGGAAACATGGAGGGAGGCCGAATGTTGAGATGGGGGGAGGAAGGGATGCAGAGAGGAGGGGCGATGGAAGGCAGAGAGAAAGGGGAAGGGGGGGAGGCAGGGAGAGATGGAACACAGACGAGAGGGGCGAGGGAGGAGGTGCCCGACGGCCAGTCCCAGAGGCGGCGATGGAGATGCGTGCGACGCTCAGGCTCGGAGGTCCCCGACACACTTGGCGCAGCGACACACAGCGATGGACGAGGGGGACATATGGAGAAGGGGGAGGGACAGGATAATGGCGGAGTCGCAGGAGGTGAGGAGGAGGAGGAGAAGGAGGAGGAGGAGGAGGAGGAGGACGGATAAGGTAGAAAGGAGGGCTGAGTAGGAGCAGGAGGAGGAGAATACGGAGGGATCAGGGAGGGAGGGAGGAGGGATGAAGCGAGAATAGGGCGGGATAGACCCCCCATGCAAATTTCCGAGTCAATGAAAATTCCAGAGGGCCTTTCGGAACTCCGCGCGGATTTCCTGGATCGGCGCTGGGCCCCCCTCCCTGACGCGCGGAGCGCGCCAGGGGCGGCACCGGAGGCGCCGCCAGGAGGGCACAACGCGGAGCTCCGAAAGCTTACTCCCAGTTTTTTAATAAGCGTTGGGAGGGCGTCACCCCCGCCGACAGCCCCGCATCGACCCCCGTCGCGGGCAGCCACCGCGCGCCGAAGGCGCTCCGACCCCCGTCGCGGTGCGACGACGAGGCGAGGTTGACCTCCTTCGGGGGAATACCCCCACGCTTATTGAGAAACCCAGAGTATGTTTGTGCCGCGCTTGCTTCTTCTAAAGGGGCCCTGGGACACACAAATGAATACACACAAATAAAAGGAATCCCCATATTTTCCCATATTTTCAGGGTCTTTGTCTTCCCCCCCACTTCCCAAATGTTTCCCATATTTTCCTCGGGGTCGACGATGAATTGTGTCTGTGTACTTTTTCCCCCTCCTGACTCTTCTGAAGGAAAAAGGGACTGGCTGCCCATCGTCCGTGCCGCCCTCGGAGCGCCTGAACGTCGAGGCCAGCTGCAGGCTCTTCATCCGCCCCTCCAGTGCGACGCCGTGGTCCTGCCCCCCCCGCCCCCGGAGGCGCCACTTGCCAGCCTCGAGCTTATCCCTATCCCTAAGACTGACACGCCAAAAAGCGATGACAATCTCAGGGATGCCCAGCATAGGGATAGGGGTATGTTCCAGGCTGGTGAGCAACTCCCTCCCTCCTCTCGCCGCCACTCGATCGGTCGAAACGAATGCGGCGAAGGCATTCGATAAAGAAACGTTGGATAAGGAGCCCAAGGTCTGAAAGCCTGTGGAACTCTGACTGAGGCTTGGCTGTGGCTATCACCGCCACCCTCATCAGATGAGGAGTCATCCAGGGTCTGAAGCCTCCTGGGCACATTTCTTAACGAACGCCCCGCACCGTACGGCATAGTCGATGCGACTGGCACGTGGGCATGAGACAACAAAACGACAGACGCCATGAACCAGTCCGCAACGGCATCGCATGGCAAACACCAAGGTGGTACGCAGGCCCGTTTCGCGCCTGGCCGCTTCGACCCCGACCTCTTCGCCCCCGACCGCTTCGCCACGAGCCCGCTTCGTCCCCGACCGCCGCCGCCACGCCACAAGACTGCTTCGCCGCAAGACCGCTTCGTCGCAAACTCAGCTTCGCGCCCGACTGCTTTGCCACTGTCCGCGCGCCTCAGTGCCCACCCGCCCGCCAGTTAGGGTCCGCCCGCCCGCCTGTCTTGGTCTGCACGCCGGTCCGCGTGCCCTCTTGGATGGGCCCCCCCTTAGGGTCCACCCGTCCTCTGGATGTTGGATGCCGGATGCTTGATGTTCGCATGCAGTATGCTAGAAACTGCCTGTTTTACGTTGGAACCGTCTATGCCTTATGTTGCGCGCAGGCAGCGTGCGCCAGCGGACAGGCCCGCGGCACGGCGGCTTCAGGCGTCGGTGGTCCTGGCGAAGGGTTGGGGGCGACGCAGTGCCCTGGCAAATCGTTTACTGTGGGACGCACTAGGGACATACCAATACCATGTGGCTCTGTTGGAGACCCACGTCCGACCCGAACACACATAGTACACCATTTTGTAATACATCGTTCCCCGAGCGGCATGGCCAGGAAGCGTCCGCCACGGAGCTACACTGTGAGATCTCCGAGGGTGCGCGTCGCCACTGCGTGGCCGACACACATATCGTGCACGTATGCTCGGGTGGCGCCGACATTGGGCGAGGCCGCCGGAGGGCGAAGAGTGGTCGGGGGCGAGACCGTCGGGGTCGTCCCCGGCGGAGCGGCCGAGGGTGAAGCAGTCCTCGGCGAAACTTTTTTGGATCCGCGGGTCGAGAGCGCACCTCTTCCGGTCGAAGCCAAGCGGGCCGCGCACAGCTACAATTAACCAAGGGAGGGGGGCAGAAGGAGGGGCCTCACGTCAAGGCCAGGAGGGGGCAAAGCCCCCGACCCTCGGCGAAACAGGCGGGTGCCGCACCGTGGCGTTGGGGCGGTTGGGACGGGGCTGGCGGAGGACAGTGGCGGCAGCTCCTGGCAGGCGCGACGTCTGGGGACAGCCGGGGTCAAGGCCGGCCAAGGACAGACAAAACCGCCTTCGCTGCAAGCGTTCGTGCGGCAATGCACGAGCACGGAGGCGCGGTGTGGACGCAAGATCTCGTTGCGTCCATACTGCAAGAACGGCGGCGGGCGGCAGGCTGAGGCGCCCAATGCCGATCAGACGAGAATGCGATGGCAGCCTTCGTTTGGCTGCAGGAGCCCGATCGGACCTCTGTTTCCTCCTCTGGCCGCACGGGTTTGCCCGTCCGCGGCGCGGCCCGCTCACCCGGCTGTGCCCACCTGGCCAGGAGCAAGGGTTTGGAGCTTCTCCCTCAGTGAACGGCCTGACATCCAGGTGCTACGACAACTTGCTTTTGCCCGTCTCGGGCCTCAGAACCCTTGTTGAACGTCAGGCTCGGGATATCGGCCATGAGGACCTGACCGAACGCATTCTACACACATGTCTATCTGTAGGTGTATAGATGTGTGTTTTGTCCTGAGACATGGGCAGCACAGGATGCTGCGGGGCCCATGGGGTTATCGAGTGCAGAGCACGAGCGCTACAACGGAAGAATCCATGGGGCCATCCGCACCAGGTGTGCCACAAAGGGGCCAGAACCAAGGCCCATGAGTCATACCGTAGCTGCGACTCATGTAGTCATCTCTACAGGACCACGGTATCCCAGGATACCGGAGAAACAAACAATCATAATCTTTTTAGGGCTGTAGGGCTATGGGGCTATATGTTTATAGGGCTATAGGGTTATAGGGCTATAGAGCTATGGGGCTATAGGGCCACAGTGCTGTATGCTATAGGGCTATAGGGCTATAAAGCTGTAGGGCTATAGGGCTATTAGGGCTATAACCTATAGGGCTATAGAGCGATAGAGCACCCGGGCCCCCCGGGCCCCCCCAGCACCTCCAGGCACCCCCAGGCACCTCCGGGCACCTCCAGGCACCTCCGGGCACCCCCGGGCACCCGGGCACCCGGACACCCGGGCCGGCCACCGGAATCGGCGACGAACCTCACCTAACCATATGAATCCGCTTTGACCACTACAGAGGCAAGCTCTGATTCGGGAATAAGCAATACTTGCCAGACAGCTCGTCCACCCTGTGAGCGTCATACAGGCGGTGCACATAAGCAGGTGATTCACGCGCTAGCGAACTCCACTGCTCGAGCGTACATCCCATCTCACACCCGCAAAATTATGGCATAACGCAGCGGGGCGTAAGAGCCGTTGCCAATATCACAATTGTTAGCATATGTGACAAACAGCGTCATGACGCAAGGACCTTTCTGGTCCAGATCCATGGCTGGGTTAGGCTAGTGGTGATGAGATCGTCGGCAACGGTGACGACGACGATGATGAATAAACATGGCGGCTATGGTGACGAGAGCAAAGCGCAGAGCTGAGCGCGCAGGACGGTGATTTACATATGCGCGCGGGAATTCATTCTATACATCGGCGCTGTTCGCAGGGGTGGAGGCGGGGGAACAAAAGGATTTGGGGCTCCTCTGGGGTCCCGGATCAAGCCTGAATCGGCGCGTTCACACACAACGATGACCGCAGCACGTCTATTCGATTTGCATCGACTGAACTGTTCGGTCAACGCCAATTTACACATACGCGAGGAAGTGTGGAGGAAAAACGAGAGCTACGATGTGAAAGTGATGACCGTCTCTCTAAGGCGACGACTGAGCAAGGTCACAAGGACGTGTGCTCGAGGAACATACTTCGGCATCTCTCTATGTCGGGTGGGCCCCAACGCGAGTACTGAAGTGCTCCCCCACCCCCGATGCCCCCCAACCCCTCCCTCCCTCTCCCCCGCCTCCTTTTCCGTCGCAAGCACCGGCGTGTTTCGGTGCTGGCCTTGTAGCTCGCGCGCGTGCCTGCAGCTCGCGCGAGTGCCGTTCGCACCACGAAGCAAGCGAAACCAGATCGCGAAGCAGATCCGCAACCCCAGTCGAAAAGGGGAGAAGGCCGATGCTGGACCAAGCAGCCCTGTACCGCCCAGACCAGGACAGCGACCCCAAAGCAGTGTCGCGCACATCACCAGCTGGGACGTCAGCTGCCCGCGACGTCTGGCCGTCGTCAAATACAGGAGGGAGGGCAGGGAAGAGCAAGGGAGGCGAACAAGAGAGAGGGAGGAGGAGGAGGAGGAGGAGGAGGAGGAGGAGGAGGAGGAGGAGAAGGAGGAGGAGGAGGAGGAGGAGGAGGAGGAGGAGGAGGAGGAGGAGGAGGAGGAGAAGAAACAACGTAACATATGCCCAAGCAGATCTTCTAAAGCGTTGTGTGTGCATTCCCTTTATGATCCGACCGATCATTTATACAACGGGGCATCACACAACAACAATCCGCCGACCACTTGGGGTCACGGCGTGTGAGATGCTTACCCCTCCCCAAACTCCTCCCCCGGGAGCCCGGTCCGGCCGGTTTGGAGGAGTAGGGTGGGGGTGGGGGGCAAAGGTGCCGGCCGCACCCTTGGAGCCTCAGGGGGCCCCAAAACGGGCCAAGAGGGCCCCCAAAGCCCCCCGGACGGTCCAAGAGGGCTACGAGTCGCCGAAAGATCGCTCCAATACGCCCAAGATTGCCTCCAGACGGTCCCAGAGGCCCCCAAGACGCCCCAAGAAGCCACCAAGAGGCACTTCAAGAGGCCCTCCAGAAGCAAACATCGTTTAATTCCCTAGGGAAGACGTATAATTTTAGCACATTCGCCTCTTGGGCTTTCACGAGGCCCACAACGGCCCGAGAAGCCCCTAATATCGACCCAAGAGGGCCCCAAGACGGCCCCAGAAGCTTCCAAAACGACCCAGGAGGGCCCCAGGACGGCCACAAGAGGAGGCCCAGAGGAGGAACCCGAATGAACATTTCGAGCCCTCGGCGCCGAAAAAACCGCAGGAGGCGCCAATAGGCCCTTAAGAGGCTTCCACGAGGCCCCCGAGTGGCCCAAGAGAGGCTCCTAGAGGCCTCAAAACGTCTCCCAAGAGGCCTCAAAAGTGCTGCCAGGAGAATCCAGAGAAGCCCCAAAGCAGAGCCGCGATCCGCCAAGCGCCCCCGACGAACTCCCAAGAAGCTGAAACCCAATATTTCCCAGAAGTCGTTCCGCAAACTCAGTTTTTCACTCTTACTGCCGCCCCAAGGGGTCGGCGGTGCGGCGTCAGCCAAGGAATCAAGGAACCGCAGCACCGTACGTGACCACCGGTAGGCATGCACCCCGACTTCCTGGCACGCCACAGCGGGGGAGCCATGTGGGGAGGGGGGGAGGGAAAGGAAGAACGAGAGAGAGAGAGAGAGCGAGAGAGCGAGAGAGAGAAACAGACACACAGAGGTCAGGACTCCCCTTCCCTCCAGTTCCCCTCCCCCAGCCTCGATGCTCCCCCGTCCCCCCTCTTCCCCCTTTCCTCCCTCTCCCCTGCCTGCGCTCCCCTGCCGCCATCGTCACCCTGCGGGCTCGCCGCATCCTGGGGGCAGATCTCGTCGCGCGTGCCATGGATTACGTCGACGCGCGGGGCCTGAATGGGAGCCAATGCGTGATCCACCAGAGGAGGAGGGAGGAGGAGGAGGAGGAGGAGGAGGAGGAGGAGGAGGAAGAGGAGGAGGAGGAGGAGGAGGAGGCGGAGGAGTCGAAACAGGATTGGGGGCGCGCGGGGTCCCATTGACCCGAACTTTCTTCGGATCCTTCGTAGCGGCCCCGATCGCTACATCCACGGTCGCAAATGGCGAGGCCAATGACCGACAGGGACTGCGCAACGCAACAAAGCCATCGTGGAGCATGGCAGGCACGGGAGATAGTATGCACTTTCTGGGAGGGCAGGTGTGGGGCAACAAACGCAAATCTCGTGGAAGACATGCGCGCGTAGAAAACCAAGACTCTTCGCGCGATGTTCAGGTACGAGATATACAACGCTTGTGGGCTTCAAGTCTACAGCTAGGAATGCGTCTTTCGTGTTAGAGGAGGACGAAGGTTCGTACAACCTTTGGCAATTCATATTTTGCGGGCCCGCATCGTTCAACCAAGAACCCAACGCCCAGACCACGGTAGACATCGCACCTTCTCCGTCCAGAGTAAATCTGATACCCGCTTGGTCAAGGACATGGCTGCTTCACTGCTTCTCTGTCAACTGACGGAATTCTCTGGGTAGTGAGAGTAACACACTGAGCAACACAGCGCCCGAAGCGAGGATGGCCAGGAGGAGCAGCTGGGGAAGAGGAACGGGAAGAGCAGCAAGCAACAGGAGCGGGACGGGGAAAGGAGAGGCTGGCGAGGGCGAGGAACCAGAGCGTCAGAGGCGGCGCAGTGCCGCCAGGAACTGGCACGCCAAGGCTGTTCTGTGTCCGACGCCCGCACGCGGAGGCGTGTCCTGCAGGCGGAAGCGCTCTTCGCCGCCAGCGTGTCGCGCAGCGGAGGCCCGAAGTGCGCACTGCTCGAAATGGTGACGCCGTTGGGTCGTTGTCGCGCCTCCCTGCTCCCGGGAGGGCAGGAGGGGTATGATCTTGCCCCGGGGGTGGGGGGGGGCATTCGATCCTGTCCGTGGCCGCTGGACCTGCGCATGCGGCCGTCCGCCCGCGAAGGGGGGCGGGGCCGGCCGAGAAGCCCTAGGCCGTCGAGCGGCGGAGCTCCCGGCCAGGCCATCCCCGCTGCGAGGTCGCTGCTCGCCTTTGGCGGATGTGCCTGGGGCGGGGGGCACGCGACCGCGTGTCGGGGATGCGCAGACATGGATTAGCGATGCATGGATTTGGCGGCGCGCGGTCGCCAAATCCATGGATCCGGGGAGGTGCCCTCCCCATAACTGCGGCCGGTGCCGCCTCGTTCGGCGGCGGAAGTCCGCGATTCCCAAGAAGGAAGCGGGGCCCGTCGCTAATCCACGCCCCCTTGATCCATGCTTGCGATCGCCTGACTGTGGCAGATGTGCATGGGGCGGGGGGCGCGCGAACGCGCGGGCCAGGGAACTCCCGAGGACTGGCTCGAGGCACTTGCCTCCGGGGGCGGCGGTTGCGGCGGGAGCGCGTCCGTCGTGCAGCGCCGATCTGCGAGCAGAACGGATCCCCGCGGGTCCGAAGTCCGCCCCATGGGGCCGCCAGCCGATCCCTGCCCTCTGCCTCCTTCGCCTCTCCCCTATCTCGCCCCTCCCTCTCCCTCCCCCCCTCCCCCTTTCCTCCCTTCCCCCCTTCCTCTCTCCCGTCTCCCTCCTAGAACAGCTCAAAACAATTGCACAACATGAGTGCTACTCTCCTCTCTCTGCCGGAGGCGTGTTGAGAGTATCCCGCCCTCTCCGTGCACTGATTTCTACACACAAGGTTTCAATCGTTGAACTTCCTTTTTTCGATCCCTGCAGAAGTGGGTCCCGCTGCTACATTGGCTCCATTTTCACATTCGCGGTTCTTCAAAATGGTGCTCTCGCTGCAACGTTGGCTTCATTTCCGCGTTTTCTGTCCTTCTCAGTGGTGCTCCCGCTGAAAGGCTGGCCTCATTCCGCGTTCTCGGTCATTAAACGTAACTAATGCTCCCGCTGCGGCGCTGGTCTCATTTCCGCGTTGATGTCCTTCTCACAAATGATTCCGCTGCATCGCTGGCGTCATTTCTGCGTTTTTCTTCAGTCCAGCAAGATTGGGCCCCCGCTACAGCGTTGGCCTGGCTGTCCTTCAAAATAGGGTTCAGACTACGGCGTGGGCTTCATGTTAAAGTGCCTGTCCTTGGCAATGATACTCCAGCTCCAACGATCGCCTCATTTCTGGAGCCGCATTCCTGACGTGCCTTGGAACCTCCGTCCGAAGGTGTGTCACTCTCGACGCGGCGCAGGGCGTGCTATTGCATCAACATGTGGCTTGCGCTTCCCAAGCTTGGTCCCTACGTGCTTGCACTTCAAAGCGGGAATCCTGCTGTAAAATTGGTCTCATTTCTCAATTGCCATGGAGCCTCCGTCCAATGTGATGGCGCTCTCGCTGCAGCGCTAACGATACTGTTGGATCGGCATCGGCTCACGTCTCCCCGCCCTGGTTTCTGCGCAACGCCACAACATGATACGCCATGGTACACCCTGACGCGCTCTCCTACGCCATATTGTGGTATGCTATGCTGTGCGGCATATAACCTTTCGGAATCAATGCCGTCTTCGACACCATACTATGCGAATTGACAGGGTCTCTGCGCAATGGTAAGGGATGGGGGGGTGGGGAAGGCCGTCAGATATGACGCGAGCGCGTCTAGCTTCATATGCATACTACTCTCCTCTCTCTCCCCCGAAGATAGCTGGGGAGTGGCGCGTTTCCTCTGCGTATTTTTGATATGTAGGATGGTGCCGAGTTCATTTTCTTTGTGCGTTTTTCCAATCCGAACGCCCTCGACCGTTCCAAAAAGATGTTCCCGCTGCAACGTTGGCCTTCTCCAGTATCGTGGCTTTGCTCCCTTCGTTCAGAATGGCATCCCCGCCTCAATGCGGGCCATTTTTCTGGATCCGAGCCTTTTCTTCTCGCTGTCGCGCACCTTCGTTACCCTCCTCCGCCTTCCCCTGGTCCTCATGCTCTTCCCGCTTCTTCCATTCCAATGCCTGCTGCTACTGTTCGTCCTCGTCCTCCTCCTTCCTCATCCTCCTCATCCTCCTTTTCCTCCTGCTCATCCTTCTGCTCATCCGCCACCTCTTCCTCCTCCTCCTCCTCCTCCTCTTCCGGTGTATGCAGCTGCCCTTGTCCGATTGCGCACAACACGATGCAACTTTTTGGGGGTTCAAGGTCTGCTAGGACACGCGTCCGCGGATAGAGGAAACGCCAGCGCAATGTGAAGGGAGCGCAGATGTGGCCCGAGTGCCCCCAGCCTGCCCCTCCGAATCTACACTTTCTACGCAACCTGCTCTTCTGCATCCCCTGGCCCTGCCTGGAGGATGTTCAGCCCCCTCCGCGCATGGCTGGTCTGCACGGACTCGGACGTGCGTCCGACGTGTTTGTCAACGAGTGACAAGTTACCATCCGAGCGCTGCCGGTGTCTCGAGATGGAGCTCCTGGTGCAGCGCGGGACTCCTCTTCGGATCGGCGCGCTGCCCCCCCGTCGTGCAGGATTTGCAGTCTCGCCCTGGCGTGGGCCACTCTTCTGGCTCGGAGCCCCTCCTCGTCGTTGGCGCCCCCTCCTCTCCCTCCCCTATCTTCCCCTGGTCCTCCTGCTCCTCCCGCTCCTTCCACGCCAATCTCCGCTGTAGCTGTTCGTCGTCGTCCGCCTCCTCCCTCCTCATCCTCCCCCTCTCTTCCTCCTGCTCAATTCCTCCGCCTTCCCTCGGTCCTCCTGCTCCTCCCGCTCCAATTCCTGCTGCTGCTGCTGCTGTTCGTCCTCGTCCTCCTCCTCCCTCGTCCTCGTCCTTTTCCTCCTGCTCATCCTCCCGCTCACCCCGCCACCTCCTCCTCCTTCTCCTTTTCTTATGGTGCGCAGCTCCCCTCATCCAGCTGTGCATAACGATCTGTCGATTTTTTGGGGAGTTCCAGGGTCGGCTATGGCACGCGCCCGCGGAGAGAGAGAGAGAGAGAGAGAGAGAGAGAGAGAGAAAAAGAAAAGGCCAGCGCAATGTGAGGGGACGGCAGGGAGGGGTACGATGTGAGATACGGCGCGAGCGCACCTACCTTGCCACTCTCCCCTCTCCCCTATCCCTTTTTTTGGGGGGTGGAGGGCATTTTCAGTACATACTTTCTTTCGTGATTTCTTTTTCTTTTTTTCTTGTTCTCTTTCTTTTTTTCCTCTCTCTCTCTCTCTCCCTCCCTCCACACAACCACACTATGCAAATGCAACTCTTCAATCTTCTGGGGCCACGCCCCGCCGTCACACGCAATCCCAGGCAGTTCCTTCTCCCATATGCACTTTTCACTCGCGATGCACTCGGTCCTTCAATGGTACTTCCACTTTAGCAATGGCCATGTTTCAGGATCGGCGCCTTGCTTTCGCTGTTCGAAATCGCGCTCTCGCTCAAACGCATGCCACACTTCTCTTCTGGATCCGACCACCTCTTTCTCGTTGCCGTCCCCCTCCTTTAGCCGTTCCTTTGCCAGGGCCAAATGCTGCCACTCTTCGTTCTCCTCTGCTCCAATGTACAGGAGGGACCCCCTCGCTGATTGCACAGCCAACGATGGGTAACGTCCTGCGACTGCCGTTGAGTGACCAACCAATGCGTTCGAGGACACCCCATTGGGTGGCAAAGGATTCAACGTAATGGAGGTTGGAGACTCTCTTTCCTTGCTGGCGCGCACAGGGGGGAAGGGGGAGGAGGGAAGGCTTCTTAGATGGAGGCTGCTTCTCAGAAGGCGCCGGCCTTGATAAGGCCCGCGCCTTCTAAGAAGCAGGGGCGCTTCTAAGAAGCCTTCCCCCCTCACCCTGCCCCCCTCTGCGCGTGGCCGATTTTCCTTCCCTGCCCATCCCTGTCTCCTTCCCGTCTTCCTTCTCTGGCTTCTCCGCCGCACCTTCGCTGGGTTCCGCGCGAGGTGGCTCACCTCCGCCATGTTGTCCCTGCGCCGTCGCTCTCCCCCCCCCGCTTCCGGCCTTGTGACAGCTACCCCCAAGGAGAGGAGGGGATGGACACCAGGGAAGGACGGAGGAGGCGAACAAGAAGGGGAGGAGGGGGGGAAGTATTCATAAGAGACGCGGAGTAATTCTGACAGGTTCGAAACAAAAACAATGATACAGTGGGGTGGTCTGAGGGAGTGCGGGGAAGAAACTCAGAACATCCTTCGGCCTGTGATCGCGACAAAATTCAATGGCTGAGCTATTCCCCTCCTTATCTTCCGCGTACTCCTCCTGGCTCTCTTCATCTTCTTCTCCGATACTTCCGCAACTCATATGAGGTCAAACCGCGATCGTCCAGTCAAATTTCCGTCTCCGCCAGGCGGGTGCTTTGGTGGGGTTGGAGGCGGTAACGAGGAGGAAGGTGCTGGAGCGATTTTTCCCCAACCCTCATGCGTTGGGTCCTCGTTTTAAATTCGATCACCGGCTGCTCCTCCCCTTCCTCCTCCTCCTTCTCCTCCTTCTCCTCCTGTCGTCCCTCTTTGCGCCCCCAGAGAAGAGGCCGTGACGACGCTTCCAAGCGTCTTTGCGGCGACCAGCTACTTGGCACCCATCGTGCTCTCGACTCACTCCACGAAGGGAGGACGCGAACGTGGAACAGAAGCTGGATGGTGCTCGGCTACACGGTAAGAGTGACCCTGGGCAAGAACGACCTCTGGTGCGCGCCCTTCGGAGGCCACGGGGGGCCGAACCCAAGCGGGTACGCCGCTTCAGGCCTGTGCTGGGGGGGGCCTCCGTCGACCAGCACCAGCGGTCACTCCGGCGAAGGGTCACTCTACGCTATGATTAGAAGCACGTTCAAAGCTGCCAGGCAAACCACAGCCAGATGACCGCGAGCGGCCGCGCTCGCTATGACTCCCCTCGCGAGCTGCTGGCTTGACAACCTGTGCGCACGCCAACAGAACAGAGCCCGAATTCTTTCAAAGCGGAGACTGCATCTTTGCGCACTCAGTCCGTGAAGAGATAAGCAAGGAGGGAGCCTGTCGTGACCAATGGATGGTGGGCCAACGCGTCAAACCACTGACGACACGTGATCTCTCCCTGGGCCCATCCAAGCGTTTCTGGAAGTAAGCGTCGCGATCAACCAAGTTGGCACGATCTCCCATCCACCCTTCTTGCTTTGTCGACACAGCCCACAACCGTGACTCCAACACAAAAACCGCACAAGCGAAATGATAAAACATCATGCGCTGATTCAACCCCGCATGCCCCGTATCCTGCCACGTCTCCATACTGACCATATCCTTTCACCTAATCTTGCCGTTTCCCCTGTCCTTCGCGTCCGACGTCTGCCGTGTCCTTCCTGCGCAAACGTCTGACTGTTCAACATAGTATTCGACTTCTCTTTGCATTGCTGAACGCTGCGTCGATAAAGCCGCAGGATCACACATGAAACGCGACACGTCGCGTGCTAGCCATTAGTGGCGTCCAAAGAAATGCCTTCTCGAGTTTCTCTGGCTAGCTGATGCAAAAGCCAGTGTGCAATTCGGATCTCGACAAATGTCTGCGGGTTTCAGTCTGCAACCTGGTCCAAACCAATCCCTGGTCACTCTCTTTCTTCGGCAATCGTCTGCAGCTCATTGAGTACTCAGCTGGGCGAACGGCCGAGCGAACGAGCCAGAGGCGGGGGAAAGGGAAGTCCACACAACAACTTCAACTGACCTCTCTCGGACCCCTTGCGCGCACCATCACGCACAACTTCTCGAGCCCCGCCCTGCGGCGGCGACGAGTGTCCACCCTGTGGGCCAAAACAAAAGATCTTGAAATACGAATGTGGAACTCCTAAGCGGAGAGATGCTGCTAGTGTGTATGTGTGGGGGGCGTTACCTGGTCGCCTGAGGGGCAACTCGGGGGGACTGGCATAGGGGGGGATGCATCGACCTGGAATCTTTTTTTGTTTTTGTTGTTGTTTTTCTCTCTCTTCCTCCCGCATCGCAACGAAGACACAACGATTCGAACGCAAAGAGGATCACCACAGCAAGGCTGCGCCACCACGCGCGATTGAGGAGCGTCTGGATAGCTAGCGCGGGAACTACACGAGGAAGAGGACCGAGACAGGAGAGAGAAGGTTACTGGCGCTGTGTGTGCATCCCCGTATGGCCCCGCCGACCACTCATATAATAAGGTAGCACCCAACGACGGATGGAAGACACGTGCACATCAGCAAAGAATACAAGTTACAGCCAACCCAGCCCCGCGGCTGATAGCAAGTAGGCCCGATTTGCTAGCGCACAGGGGGCGAACGTAAGTCGGGGAGGGGAGGATGATAAACCGAGAAGGGGGAAGAACAGCACATTCACAGCCGACAGGCTTCTCACGTGCAAGCGGAGAGGGAACACACGAGCAGACAGGCCGCGCGCCAAAGCACAGAGAGGTCTGGACAGTCAAGCAGCATGCTCGGGAAACGTGCAACAGAATGCGCACGGGGGGCCTGGGGCACCCCGGTCGAGCCTGAACCCTGAAGGCGGCAGCCAACCACACTCGGGTCGGGCGAAAGGGGGGGATGGCAAAGGGGGGGGGGGGAGAATCAGCTCACACGGCTGATCTTCCAGGCGCCTCCCGGCGCCGGGAGGCGGCCATGTGTCGAGGAATGGGCCCGGCGGCGGGGCCGAAACCAGCTGCATGCAGCAGATTTCGTAACCCCCCCTTTCCCTTCCCTACCCCCCCCTCTTTCGTTCGGCCCGGCAAGCCCGTGGCAAGAAGGCGCGGGGTCCGCAGCCCACGGCCCAGGGGAGGCCGGGCTCGACATGCAAGAGAAACAGCCCGGAGCACCTCACGTGCAAGAGAACAGCGGAAGGGGCAGGAGGGAGGGAGCCCGAGAGGAAGGGGAGGGACAAACGCCCGCGCTGACGCGTTCAGAATATGGTGCGGTCGCGCCTCATGCTCTGGATGCTGAACTTCGGATGTCTGGCCGAATCGAGAGGGTCTGAATAGGCAAGGTGGTCGCCGACCGACGCAGAGAACCTCGGAGACGATATCCAAATTTCCAAACCACCTCTTGCGCGCTGACTTCGTAAAGGGTCGGCCGTCCATTCGCCCAGGCCGCACACAACAAAGTAGAACCAGCCAGGAGATTGCGCAAACTCTAGTTGTGTCACCAGGGGGGTACGATTTGTCCGCCCAATCTTGTCCACGCCAGCGTCTGTGCTTGCGTCGGTGCTGGTGTCGTTACTGGCATAGGCGTTGACGTTGGTGCCAGCGTCGGTCATGACATCGGTGCTGGTGTAAGCGCTGAAACTGGGACCAGCGCAGGCACCGTCGTTCGTGCTGGCGTCAGTGCTGGCGTTGGTGCCGCTGTCATCGCAGCGTTATTGTCTGCTGTTGGGGATGATGCTGCCAGTGGAGGCGTACAACGTATTGCAAGTGCCTGTCACATAAATCCCGCATCTGATTAGGAGAACCTGTCTAGGATTTCCAGTGGTACTTCGTCGGTCCTCCGCGGCCTGGCCGTGACGATGTTGATGTCAACTCGTGCGTCGATGGCAATGTCGACGTGGAGATGCTCCCACACAGACGGAGCCAACACCGTCGATGATAACGACGGAGCTGGCGCCGGTGCTGGTATCGATGGTGATGTGGGCGTTGGAGTCGAAGTCGATGGTGATGTTGATGCCGCACTGTCAACCTGCCGTTCGACAGCAGATAGGCGCCTCAAGTGGCGGCCGAAGCGGTCCTGGTAACACTGCGCTGCGCGTCCACGCATCGTATTTCGGCCACGTTCGTGGGACACGCTTGTTCGTGGTTGCGGCGTCGGTGCTGGTGACAATGCTGGTGTAGACGCTGGCGTCGGCGTTGGGGGCGGTGCCGACGTCGGTGTCAACGTCGGTGCTGGCGACGGCGTGGGCGTAGGCGCCGGAATCGGGGCCGAGGTCAGCGCCGAGGTTGGTGACGGCGTCGGTGCTGGCGACCGTGCTGGCGTGGGCGCTGGCGCCGGTGCCCGTGACATTGCACAGGAGTCGGACGTCGGATGCCAGAGGCCAGCGCGTCGAGACGGTGGGTGCTGGAGGTCAGGCGTCCTCGGGCCAGGAGTCGGCATGACTGGAGTCATCAGGGGCAGCAGTCTCATTCAGGAATTCCAATGGCTCCGTGTGTGTCGGCCAGAGCGGTTACCATAACCGTTTTGGCTCAAGCTGATGACAAAGAAATTGCTCCACTCACGGCATATATCATCATCACCACCAGGGGCAACAATCTCATTTAGGAATTCCAATTGTTCCGTGCGCGTCGGCCAGAGCGGTTACCATGACCGTTTTGACTCAAGGTGGTGACCAAAGAATTGCCCCACCCACGGCATATATCATCATCACGGCAAGCTCGTCCGCGCAGGAATCGGCGAACTGGTCGGCACGGGAACCCGTGAGCTGGTCGGCGCGGGAATCGGCGAGCTGGTCGGTGAGGAAGTCGGTGAGCTCATCTATTTTGCCTCCTCTGCGCTGTTTTGTAATCGGGATGCGGCTGCTCATGCTTCATAGTCGTGATGCGGCTGCGTGTCTCAAGTGTCAAATAACATATCGCGACGCAATCGTGAATCCGCTGCTCCTGCCTCACAGTCGTGATGCGGTTCTGTGGCTCATGTGGCACTGGTCGGCGCAGGAGTCGCGTCGTGCTGGTCGGCGTGTCGGCGTGGGAGTCGGCGAGTTGGTCGGCACTTGAGTCGGCGAGCTGCTCGGCACAAGAGTCGGCGAGCTGGCATGCCGCCACTCGCTCTGTCGGAATTACCGCCCAACTGGGCCCCCCCTCGCCAATCGGGCGCTGGCGCTGCTGGGACCTGCCACCACGGACCGACGTCGGAGAGACAGGGACGGGCGTCGGAGCCGGAGCGGGAAGCGGGGTCGGAGACACGAGAGGCTGGGAGATGGCAGCCGGAGCCGGAGAGGCGGGATGGAGCGTCGCAGCCGGAGTCGGAGGGGCGGGAGCCGGAGTCGGAAATGCGAGGGCGAGGGTCGGATTGCCAGAACCAGCGTCGGCAGGAGAGAGGAGGTAGAAGGACAAAATCAATGAAGTCGTCGTCGGTCTCGCCGCTCCGGGCGCGCAGCAGCATCGTCTCGCGGCCGTTGTGGGCGTGCGCCGCTGTTGTCTTGACATAGCTGGCGTAAACGTCCGTGCCCCCTGCACGCCTCATGCACGACTTGGCTCCTAAACTGTTTGAGGCAGGCTGAACGGGCCTCTGTGTCCGAGAAGCGTCGGTGCCGTATGTGGTTGACTGTGCGATATAGCACGTGCGTAGAAACCGCTTGGATACACAGAGCCTGCTCGTCCATATCGACCCCCAATACAGCATGAGCCAAGTTGTGCTGAGCAGCGGCATGACCAAAGCGAGATCGTAACCAATCAAGCCAGACTGGGCATCGGAAATAATGTTCCACTGAATCGCAAGCTGTTGAGCTGCAAACCAATGTGTTGGTGTAGTCGTACGCTGCGCATGCGTCGGTCTGTGGTCCAACTATTGAAGATAATGCTCACATTCGCCGCGCAGAGCCTCGGCGGCACCAGCCGGCCCAAGCGGATCAACTGGCGTGCAACCTGTCTCGCCGTCCTTCCTGGGTAGTCCAGGAGACGCCACCGTGCAAGCCGAGCGCGCAGGCGCCATTCCACGCAGTAGTTGGCCTGAGTAAGCGGGCGAGTGGCCATCCAACGTTGCGTCCCCTTCTTGAATCGATGTGCTGCCTGGCGCGTGAGAGGCCCAACAACGACGCCCCCCAGTGCGGCTCGAGCAGCATGAATAGATACCCCGGCCGCGGACTTTGAACCCACCAGGTTGATGACCACTGTCGGAATGTGCTGCGCAAACCACGGGAAGCACAACCTGCTGAGGGTCAACGAATCGGCCTGGGCCTGAGCATCTCGCAACTGCCGTGATAGATGGTTCCATTGGATGCCTCCAGATCCGTGCGCCTCCCAAGCATGTGTCCGTAGCATAGCCGCTTGGCAGGATGCGCGCAAGTGGCGAATCCTTGCCGAGAGGCCCAACTCTGGTCCGTGCTGCATGTCGGCTGGCATGCACCACCATCCCGGTCCAGGCGCCACCTTGCGCACCAGATGCATCGACCTGGAATCGGGGATGCATCATCAATAGATCGGCGATAGCCCTTCGATAGCGAAACCGCACCTTCCTGGACGGGGTCGATGCATCTCCCCCTATGCCTAGCCCACCTATCGTTGCCCGAGATCGCCGCGCGTGGGCGGCGCAAGTAGGGGGCTCAACTGCGCCGGCCCTCTGGGGGGGCCTCTGCAAGCTCTCTGGCGGGGGGGGGACCTGGTCGCCACGAGTGGCTGGCGTAAGTGCACAGTCCCATTGAGCCGCTCTGGAGCTGCAGCAACAGAAAAAGGAGGAAGATGAGGAACCAACATGACCAAGCGCAGAGGAGGATGGTGTGGAAGGACACGGCATTGCATTCAAATGCACTCAGTCGAGCACCCGACGAAGCCAGCAGGAGGAGGACAAGAAGACATCAGCTACACTTAGGCCGGGCATGTCCTCCTACGGGCGGATTTTGGACGACGAATAAAAGCAGTCAAATAATTGTCAAAACTGGTCCCAAAATCGTCCCCAGACTTTTTTTTTCTGACTATTTTTGAATACTCCTCCAGTAAAGGGCCGGGCCCGTCCTGGGCCCAGGACCGGCCTGGCCAGAATCGGTGGAGCCCGGCTGGCGTCCTCCGAGGCGAGTCGAGGGGCCAAAGAGAAGCCTCTGCGCCCCGCCGTGGTCGGTGTTGGTGTGCGGGTGGCGTCCCCCGAGAGGACTCGAAGGTGGCCAGCAGAAGACATGCGCCCCACCACTGGTGGCCGCGCCGGGGGGGGAAACAGCCCCAATGGAAGGATCGCCAATTCCCCCGGGGCTCCGCACGCCCACGCAACCCCTCTTCCTGCTCCTCCTCCTCCTCCTCCTCTTCCTCCTCCTCCACGTCCTCATCTTCGTCGTCCTCCTCTGCTTCCTCCCCCTATCCCCCTCCTCCCGCTCCTCCTCCCTCACTCTCTATCCTCCCTCCTCGTCCTCCGAATCGTACCCCGTCGCTGCAGCCTCCGACACCGATGCGCTGCTCGTCCCGCCCCCTCCGCTCCGGGACCCTCCTTGAGGATGGGCAGCAGCACCTTCGCAACCTCCGGCAGCGAGGTGAACGGCGCACAGAGCGCCACGTGCCTCGGCTGTGAGATCGGTGTAGAAAGAGGGGATGAAGATAACACATCACGACAGATCACGACGTTGAGGAGGGGGGTCAGGAGCAGGAGGACGGATGAGGAGCAGGAGGAGAGCACCAGGGGAACGCATGTGACATTGAATATTCTGTTGTGAGGGGTTGCTACGCTTGAGAGGGGGAAGATGGCACCCGTGGGCGCAGTTTGTACTGTAGGCAACAATGACAACTTGCAAACGAACGTTGTGGCTCGTTGGATGAAAGATGATGAGGACGACGCGCGAAGGAGAACGGCACGCCGAGGAACAATAGGGGAGGCAAGGCGTCGGAAGTAGAGAAGTAGAGAGGAAGGAGGAACAAGAAAGAAGACGCGGACGTACCAAGAGAGCTCCAGGAAACAAGCATCCGACATGCCTGGTGAATACACAAAATCTGCTCTGATGCCCGGGGGCTGAGGGTTCTGATGATCCCCCCTCCAGCTTTCCCCCTCCCCTCACTCGCTTCTCCCCAATGGGTGGGCTCGGTTGCATACGATTTCTGAGCGGGCTGTACCGTCACGTCGAGAGGGACCGAACGCACAAACAATATAATCGACTACAAGGGTTGGTTCGGCAACACGGCAACGACAGACCCGAGACGGCTCACGCAGTCCTTAGGGCCGAGAAGGATCCGTCTTTGCGGCGCTGGCTTCACTTGTTTCAAGGTTTCGATCGAGCGTGTGTGTCCATTGCGTCTGAGGAGGCATTTGTTCTGCAGTGAGGATGTGGCAAGCCTCGCGGAACAGTCGCGCCCAGCATCAAAGGGGCTGCACAACCAGCAGACATCAACACATCGACATGTTCGTCAGAGCGTCAGGTCGCATCGCAGCCAGGTGCCAACGACTGACAGTGCAGGAGTTAAATGCAAGATTTTGGTGAGTGGGTGGGTACTTCCCAATCTTTAGGCGCTCTACACAGAAGCTTGAGACAGGAACCGTTGGCCAAGCAACAAGTCGAAGTTGAAGATGAGATTTTGTTTCATCCACGTGATAGGGTCGATCATAAAACGCTGACGTGGCGACAATGTGGTCTCCTTCTTCGGCACCAGTGGACGAGGTGCGCCTGGCCTTTCAGGTAGCACGTGAGAGGGTTGAGACCGAAGCTCTCCCTCCCATCACAAAGGAAACCATCCGAGCAGCTGCGCATCGAATGTCAGCTGGGGCTGGAATTCGTGTGGATCGGGTCACACCCACGTACGTCGAGAGGTTGCCGAAGGAGGCGCTTGACGAGATGGCGGAGTTACATCATATCGTTGAGTTTCAGGTGACCTGGCCGCGTCAGATCATGATGGTGCTTGGTCGACTTCGTCCAAAGAGAACGGAGGGAGACTGCATCATAGACTTGCTTTCCATGCTCAGCAGGATCTGGTCTCTCGTCAGAGAGGCAGAGGTGCAGGCCCGGCCGGATAGCAGTGAGCCGCTATGGGACGCTGCAGTGAAGGGCAATGCGGCCTTCAAGGAGGCTGTCGTGCGTACTCTTCAGGAGGAGGAGGAGGAGGAGGAGGAGGAGGAGGAGGAGGAGGAGGAGGAGGAGGAGGAGGAGGAGGAGGAGGAGGAGGTAGGTCATCAGCTTCAGCTATCTTCGAGGACGGGGATCCTCGACATCGACGGTCTCTACGACACCATGTTGCGGGAGATTCTCACACCCTCAGCTCTGAACCTGAGCTTCTCAGCAACGCTTCTGTGCTAGGAGATTTTGCAACATGCGGCCCCAAGATCGTGTGGCCAATGGCACCCGTGAGCGTTGCATATTCTCCCCAGCCAGTCAATCGTGCAAGGGCTACGGTTGGGCACAAGGGTTTGCTTGCACTATGGTATGTTTTGTCCTTGATCGTGTTTGTTCGGCTCACCCCAGCATGAATCACATAACCTGGATTGATGACCTTGCTCAGAGATCGGCTGGGTCACGGCAGTCAGTACGACAAGATCTAGCCAGTAGCCTCAAAGCCGCATGTCGGGGCCTAGCCAACATGAAGCTGAAGGTCGCGAGCAACAGCATTGTGATGGGCTCGCGCCATTCAGATGCAGTGCAGGTTGCTTGAGCCCTTCGGACTTCAAGATGCCAGGCTCCTCTTCAGAGGAGTGCTGGTTGACTCGGGACTGACCTGGGAGGAGGCAGCAAGCATGTGCGCGCAACCAGGCGCAAGAGGTTTCATAGATGATGTGAGGTTATGAATTCTACAGTCAAGAGTTCGCGGCAGCAGGACGAAGGTATGCGACAACTTCCAAGCTGGAGCGCTTAGGCGCGCAGGCTGCTCTGTCGTACGCGTACCCGAACGACGGTGTCTTCGGCGTGTACCTCACCACGTACAGGCGGCGACTTGGTGCTGCGGTGGGGGCAACGTCCAGAAACAAATGCCTCACCACGTTGCTGGCATTGTGAGCACCAATCGACCCGACACTTAAGCTGCCAGAGGAGTGTGTTCGCATGTAGTTCCGAGTTTGGCCGAGCGAGCCCAGCATCAGGAACGGCATTGAGAGAGTGTGGGATGGTTTGGTAAACAAATTACGTGCTGTACCTGAAGGGCGACGATCACGACAGATCAGAGGCTCAGCGTCGGCCATCATCGCACTTTCGTTGAATAATGGATGGGGCCCGAAGTCGGCTACACAGTGAACATTCCCAGGGCGAGCCGACATCGACGAGACTATTGAATGGAACTTCCCAGATGCAGCATGGGTGGGTTGGCCCGATGTCGACGACCTAGGGCCACTCATCCAAGACCTTCAACGTGCTATTTCAAACAAGCTTTGGTCAAATGCAGCCGCTCATTTCCGTGGTGGAGGTCCAGAGGGTGGTACGGCCGTCGAGTCATACCGACGTCGGTACCAGCAGCCCCTGGCCGTGCCCCCCTACGGGAGTCGTCTTGACGAGCTGATGGTCACGATCGCTTCAAGAGCGTCTTGGCCGAGAGTCAGGAGAGCGGAGGCGGCAGCGGCGGCAGGAAAAGCAGATCAGGTACCTCCTTGGAGTGCTCGCTGTGGCGTAGCAGAGGAGGACATGCTTTATCGGGGCTGGGGGTGTAGCTCAAACCAGGGCTCTCCTGCCTGCGAACTTCCAGAGTCCGTGGTGCACGAGTCGCAAGTGAACTTGCAGTCAGCCGAGTGTTTTTTGTTGCGAAGGCTCATTCCCCAAGATTGGCTGACAATGAGTCCGCCAACCGACGAGGAGGTCTGGAGCTTCTCTGGCACCGAGTTCAATGAGCCTGCTCCTGGATGCTTCGGTAGAGGAACCAGTAGAGCACCCTTTGTCACCCTTTGTAGTATTCGGTGACGCCAGTGGAAGTCCAGAATCAAGTAAAAATCGTTTCAAAAGAGTTCCACTATCAATTTGTCTTGTTGAATCGTTCTGGGCTTTTGTCGGTCAATGCTAAGTACGGTGTCAAGACCCCTGGCAGGGTCCCGGCAGAGCGCGCCCAGAGGAGAGCTTCGAGCTCGTTTGTGGTGTCTGGAAGGCACAGATGGCCACGCAGTCTACACGACCGACAACAATTGTGGCCGACGACGGGGCAGAGAGAAAACATTTAAATCCAGAAGGTCCTGAGGCAGACCTTTGGCACCATATCGGCAGATAGCCAGAGCAGGGAGATCCAATTCCATTCGCGGTGATGTTCGTCAACAGCCACCTGGAGGCCACAGACACGGTCCAGACCACTGTTCCTTGGTGGATGGTGGAGGGTGATCTGGTGGCAGACAATCTCTCGGAAGCAGCAGCCGAACGTGCGAAAGTTTCAGAGCATCAGGAATTCGAGATTCGCAGAATCGAGGTGAAGGCGTTCCAAGTCCGACTACGCCTACTTCGTGCGACAGTCGATACGCTGGAGAAGGAGAAGGAGTTGAGCGCCCCAAGACAAGGACGCAATGACAGGAATTCTCCGCCTTCTCCTCCTCCTCCTCGTCCTCCCGCTCTGTCAGAAGTGCAAGTGTTCACATCCAGTCATACTTTCGCTGAATGTAGCCGCCGCTGCCTTCTTTGCCATAGTGCGTCCACCCTAGCTAGACAAGCTGTTTGGCGATCCTCCCCGTGCTTTTGTATCCTGTAATGTTGACGGGGTTTTGCTTCGTTCGCCTCCAGGGAGAAACTGTCCCTCGCGGGGGGCTGGGGTGCTTACATAGTAGTGATCGGATGCAACTACATATGGGGCTTACAGAAAGCTTTGGTATTGCTGTCAATGTGGGCGCTAGTCAAGTCCTTAAGGGCCTTGGGCAAGAGTGTCACAAAGTAGCGATCCCCACCCGAGCTGATCACTTGATGGGGCTTCAGCTTTGGTGTTGCTTTCAATGTGGGCGCGAGTCAAATCCTGGAGAGCCTTGGGCAAGAGTGTCACAAAGTAACGATCTCCACCCGAGCTGATTATTTGAATCGGATCTTGTCAGGCCGATGGTCGAAGGTTCGAAGTCGGGTGGAGTTGGCTCGCAAGGGGGCGTCATCTTGAGCCGAACTCGCTTCGCGACTGGCGACACTCACTCACTCCTCCTCGTCATTCAATTCCCCTCCCCTCCCTCTCCCTGTCCTCCCTCGTCCTCCTGTTCCTCCTCCTCGCCCTCTTCCTCCTTCTCCTCCCTCTGCCCCCCGGCTCCTCCCCCCATCCCGCTGCTGCTGCTCCTGCTCCTCTTGCTTCTCCCTATCCCTCGTTCTCCTCCTCCTCCTCTTCCTCCTCCTCTCTATCTCTGGCATCGCCTCCACCCTTCTTCCTTCTTCCCCTTGCCTTCATCCTCACCTTCCAATCCTTCCCTCTCTCCCTCCTTAGTCATTCACCCATACACCCCACCTCCCGTTGTCATCCTTCCTCTGCGGCAGAAGCGTGCTTTAAAAGAAACATGAAGGGGCGCACTCCCCTTCGATCTTAAGCTTCTTAGGAAGACGCAGAACTCCAGTGGGCTCCCATGGCCGTCGGGGCATAAGAAATTCTGCTGGGGCACCTGCTGGCACGTCAACTTCCTAGTTTGACGTGTCCGCTGCCCCCC